CTTTGCACCTGATAAACATCCCCAACAGGACAATCACCAGTGAGAGCAGGACTGCTGCTGGGCTCGCCTGTTTTTGGACGCACTGATGTCATCGCAGCCATGGTCTTATCTCCAGCAAACTACTCCTGCTCCAGGGAGCCCCTGTACCCCTTGCCACAGGGGATATTGGGATCCATGTCCTCACAGCTTCTCTGTGGGAGCTTCAAAGTCCTCTCTGCATCAGTGAGGGGCCACCAGTGACTGATGCCGTGGCTGGTTCAGGAAAGAGCGGGCTGACCCCAGGCTCTTGCATCAAGAGGAGCACAGACTGCCAAAAGCACAAGGTTGAGGACACGTCCCACAGCCAAACTCTACTCTGGCTACAGAGCTGCGGCATATCCTAGTAGAGCTCAGGCAGGGAAACCCGACGGGAATTTGAGGGGCCCCAGAGGGGTGGGAGCTTTTATAGTACCTGCATCAAACACCAGCAGGTGCGGGAGAGCAACACCAGCCATCCCTAACATCAAATGCACGCTGCTGGGTGCCTGCTGAGAGCCACCCCAGCACCCGTGCAGACAGGGGTGCATGGGCACAGTTGGGCACTGCTTGCCTGTCTTCACCTCAGGATGCCACCGTCATCCTCCTGTCCCCGCTGCCAGCAGGGCTCCTAACTCCAGCCCTGACAGGGCTGGTGGCCGCCAGCACTGCACTGCCAGGTCCTGGGCAGAGCCCAGACGCAGTTAGTCAGGGCCAGACCCATAGCTGCCCCTGCTCTCGGGGCCAGCCTCGGCCGCAGGGAGCTGTGCATCGTGCTTGGGGTCACACCAAAGGGCCCTCGGAGGTGCCAAGGTCAGGCACTGCAAGGCATGGGATTGGGGATTTGCCGAGAGCCCTGATGCATTTACAGTGGGACCCTGCATGGCCCTAATTACCTCCAACGATCACCCTCATTAACTGCTCAGAGAGCTGGGGTAGCTCAGCAGAATTCAGCCTAATGAGGTGCCCTTAGAGCACGTTCCAGGTGCCTGAAGCAGATGGGTGGCTGCTGCTGTTACCCAGGTTCTCCGCTGCCTTCAGTCCTTGCCTGCTGCTCCTGCTCTTTGCTCTGGGCCCCCAAACCTCCCCCCGCCACGGCCCCCCGCCCCC